GGGGCGGCAGCGCGCTGCTCCTCACTCCTCCGAGTTTCCTCCGACAGAGGCTCCACTGCAGACGCTTCACATGGACGTGTGGGGCCCAGCCCGCGTCCGTGGACAGGGTCACGAGCGTTACTTCCTGCTGGTGGTTGACGACTACTCGCGTTACACCACAGTCTTCCCCTTGCGCAGCAAGGGTGACGTCACTGAGGTGTTGATCGCCTGGATCCGCGCAGCTCGTCTCCAGCTCCGGGAGAGTTTCGGCTCTGACTTTCCTGTTCTGCGTCTGCACTCCGACAGAGGCGGAGAGTTCTCCTCTGACCTTCTGCGGGCCTTCTGTCGTGCACGAGGCATCCGCCAGACCTTCACGCTTCCGGACTCTCCACAGCAAAATGGGATTGCTAAGCGCCGCATTGGCATGATCATGGACGTCGCTCGTACGTCCATGGTCCATGTGGCTGCCCCCCATTTTCTGTGGCCGTTTGCGGTTCGGTACGCGGCGCATCAGATCAACCTTCACCCCCGGGTCTCCAGGCCGGAGACCTCCCCTGCTTTACTGTGGACGGGGAAGGTTGGCGATGCGTCTGCGTTCCGTGTCTGGGGATCTCGGGCGTTTGTCCGCGACTTGTCTGCGGACAAGCTGTCCTCTCGTGCTGTTCCCTGCGTCTTCCTTGGCTTCCCTCCTGACGCGCCAGGCTGGCAGTTCTACCACCCCACCTCGCGCCGTGTTCTGTCCTCCCAGGACGTCACCTTTGACGAGTCGGTTCCCTACTACCGTCTCTTCCCCTACCGCACTGCGTCCCTCCCTCCCCCGCCGCTCTTCCTTACGCCAGGTCCCCCCCCGGTAGACCCCCTCCCCCCTCAGGGTCCTGCTCCCTCAGGTGTGTCCCAGGTAGATGCAGTCGAGCCTGTCGAGGTAGCTGTTGACTCTGGTACTGCTGGGGGTGCTGAGCCTGGGGGTGCTGGGTCTGGGGGTGCTGCGCCTGGGGGTGCTGAGCCTGGGGGTGCTGCGCCTGGGGGTGCTGAGCCTGGGGGTGCTGCGCCTGGGGGTGCTGAGCCTGGGGGTGCTACGCCTGGGGGTGCTGAGCCTGGGGGTGCTGAGCCTGGAGGTGCTGCGCCTGGGGGTGCTGAGCCTGGGGGTGCTACGCCTGGGGGTGCTGAGCCTGGGGGTGCTGTGTCTCGGAGTCCAGAGCCTGAGGGTGCTGGGCCTGCTCGTGAGGCGTCTGGTAGTGCTGGGCCTGGCGGTGCTTCGGGTGCTTCGTCCCGGCGGGAGCTACTCTCTCCACAGGAGCTGCGTGAGTGGTTCGCCCGGCGCTGGCGGCGTGCTGCTGGAGCTGGTGTTGCTGCAGACGCAGGAGGTTCTGCTACTACTGAGGGTGCTGGTGCAGAGGGTCCCAGAGGTGCTCGTACAGGGTGTACTGGAGCTGCTGGGCCTACGGGTGCTCCTCCTGCTGGAGCTGGTGGTGCTACTGGTGCTACTAGCGTCGGTGCTGCTGGTGCTCCTGGAGCTGGAGCTGCTGCGTCTTCGGATGGCTTGACTGGAGCTGGAGCTACTGGGGGTGTTGGCGCTGGAGGTGCTCCTGGCGCTGGTGCTGCTGAGGGTGCTGGAGTTGGAGCTGCTGGAGCTGGGGGTCCTCCTGGTGCTGGTGCTCCCGTTGGGAGTGCTGGTGCTGTTCCTGCTGGCACTGGTGGCGCTGCGCGGCCACGGCCGTACTTCGTTCCGCTCCTTGAGCAGGTTCTTGGTCTTCCGTCCTCTCTTGGTCCTGCTCCTCCCTTAGCGTGTCCGCCTCCTGTCCAGACTGAGTCACAGTTACAGCCGGCCTCCCCGCTTCCTTCTCCTTCTCCCTACACTGGTCCTACTGGAGGTCTTGCTGAGCGTCGTGAGCCTGCGTCTCGCCCTGCGTCGCCTGTCCGTGCTGCTCGCACTAGTGGTCGTGGTTCGCGTCAGCGTCCTTCCCCGGTCCCCGGCACGCACCGGATGTCTCTGCGTCCTTCCACTGCTCCGCTGCGTGCCCCTTTGCCCTCTCCTCCAGCGTCCTCTCTTCCTGAGCTTCCTGACCCTGAGTCGGACTCCCTTCGTGCTGCGCGTCCTACTGTCACACGTCTCCTTGCTACTGTCGTCACTGACCCTTCCTTTGAGTCTACTGCTGCGTCTGCCCTCGTTGCTGAGCTTGTCGACTTCGCTGCTCGCTGTCGCCTAGACTACGCTGCCAGTCTCGTCGCTGAGTCTGAGTCTGTCTGTCCTCCGTCCGTCGGAGGTGAGTGTGCTCTTGGCACGGACATCCTTGAGGACAGGCAGGAGGAGTTCCAGTGCTTGGCTGCTGCTTCACCTCATCTCGTGGCCATGCTGCTTGCCCCTGAGGGAGACCCGGATGCACCAGACATCCCGACCCCGCGCTCTTACGCAGAGGCGATAGCGGGTCCCTACTCCTCTCAGTGGCAGACAGCCATGGACGCAGAGATGGCTTCCTGGAAGTCCACAGGCACCTACGTCGACGCAGTTCCCCCACCAGGGGCGAACATCGTCAGTGGCATGTGGATTTTCAGGGTGAAGCGGCCGCCGGGTTCTCCGCCTGTCTTCAAGGCGCGTTACGTGGCTCGTGGCTTCAGTCAGCGGCAGGGAGTTGACTACTTTCAGACCTTCTCTCCCACCCCGAAGATGACCACTCTTCGGGTACTGCTGCACATAGCCGCTCACCGAGACTACGAGCTGCACTCTCTTGACTTCAGCACTGCTTTCTTGCAGGGCAGCCTGCACGAGGAGATCTGGCTGCGCCGCCCACCTGGCTTCACTGGGAATTTTCCTCCTGGCACCCAGTGGAGCCTCCGGCAGCCAGTCCCCGCGCCTCGTGAGTGGCACGACACACTGAGGACTGCACTTGCGGCTCTTGGGTTTGCTCCTTCTACTGCCGACCCGTCGCTGTTTCTGCGCACCGACTCTTCCTTGCCGCCGTTCTACATCCTCGTGTACGTCGACGACTTGGTCTTTGCTACAGCTGACACTGCTGGACTTGCCTACGTGAAGTCCGAGCTGCAGAAGAGACACACGTGCACAGACCTGGGTGAACTGCGCAGCTACCTTGGCTTGCAGATCACCCGGGACAGAGCACAGCGCACCATTACCCTGACTCAGTCACACATGGTGCAGCAGGTCCTTCAGCGCTTCGGCTTCACGTACTCCTCGCCTCAGGCCACTCCTCTGCCTACACGCCACTCGCTCTCAGCTCTGCCTTTGGATGAGTCCGTAGAGTCGAGTGGCCCGTACCCAGAGCTTGTTGGCTGCCTCATGTACCTAATGACCTGCACTCGACCTGACCTTGCATACCCTCTTAGCATTCTGGCATGCTATGTTGCTCCTGGGAGACACAGACCAGAGCACATGGCTGCAGCGAAGAGGGTGTTGCGCTACTTGTGCAGTACGTCGGGCATGGGGCTTGTGCTTGGAGGGCAGAGTCCAGTGGTCCTCACTGGTCACGCAGACGCTTCTTGGGCCGACGACCAGGCTACGCAGCGGTCGTCACAGGGTTACACCTTCAGCCTTGGTTCCGGCTCTGTTTCGTGGCGGTCTACCCGCTCGTCTTCTGTTCTCGGCTCCAGTTGTGAGGCTGAGATCTACGCAGGGGCCATGGCTGCACAGGAGCTACACTGGCTCACCTACCTGCTGACTGACTTGGGAGAGCCGCCTCGTTCTCCTCCAGTGCTGTACGTAGACAACAAGGCCATGCTGGCCTTGTGTCGGGAGCACAGACTGGAGCACAGAACGAAGCACATCGCTCTTCGCTACTTCCTTGCTCGTGAGCTGCAGCAGCGTGGTCAGCTGCGCCTTGCTTACGTGGCCTCTGAGGCCAACACTGCTGATATCTTCACTAAGGCACTCGCGCCTTGTGATCATCAGCGCTTCTGTACTCTGTTAGGTCTTGTGCCTACCTTGCCTCACTTGCTTACTTCTTGACCTTGCTTGTACTGTTACATATATATACCTGCCCTTGCTTGTTTAGCGTTATATATATGTAATCTTGCATGTGAACTGGCCTTGTGGCCTTGAACTTGTGCTCAGACTGTGTGGTGACGTTGTGATCCACCCTGAGCTTGCCTTGCTTTGCTTGACTGGTCTTGTGACCCCTTGTTCTCCCCCACTTTGCCTATGGGGGTGTGTTAAACTCATACACTATAGTATGTGTAGGCTGTAGTGGGGTAGCTCATATGGGGTACAACACTTTAGGGTTTGGTACTTGTACTCCTCATGCTGCTCAATGCATTCATTCTCGTTCTAGTTTTCACAGTCTCTGATGCGCCTCCCCCGATCCAGTCTACCTTCCCCCCTGCCTGGGCCTCCCACCTTGCTCTCTTCTCCTCAACCGCCTCTAGCCCTTTGCTCGGCTCCCTGAGCTTCCTCAGCAGCACCACTTCCCCTTCCACAAGTAGTGTAGATTACAGCACTCGTACCCTAGGATCCCCCACCATGCCTGCTGCCTGGCGCTTGAGAATTCTCGTCGGTACCACGCACTCACACCGCAACTCAAAACTCACCTCCCACTCGGAGCGTTCTCCACACCCGTTCACTCCTCGCAACACCACCAAGTTTTCCTTGGTGTCCCTGACTTCCCACAGATACCCTCTCCTGCTCAGAAGTAAGGAATGCACGAACGGGAACACCGTGGCGACCTCCTCAGCTGTCACCGGTGTTAACAGCCACTTCCTCCACTGTTCTGGTGCCGCGCAGAATGCCTTGAGCGCCATGGTTACTTCCTTCTTGCAGCCCGGCTCCCGGGTAAGCGCCTCTGCCAATATAACAACGTATGTATAGTCCCACTTCCGAACCACCATATCGCGCATCTTCCACGTCCTCCACTTTGTAGTGTGCTTCTAACTGCCGAAGGGCACCTTCCCTTTGTGAATAATCTTTGTGTTGAAGCACAGGTACTCTTCCTCCGCCTCCCACCGCGACGCAGCCTCCGGTACCCGCACGACCGACGACTTCAGCACCACTTTGCACAGATTTCCCACCTCCTGCTCTAAATCATCCCCCCTTTGAGCACTGCCTTGTGCGTGTACAGCGTTGCCCACCATAACGCCAAACCTGGCGCGCTTTCAGTCACCCTGCGCCTGAGCGGGCACCCCTGAATCAGTGCAAGCCCCACGCATCTCAACGCAATGCTGTCGATCCTTCCTCTCGGATCTATCACACCCAAGCCTCCTTGCTCTCCCGGTGCGTACATCAAGCCTCCACTCCAGAGCCGGAAATGCTTCTCCGTGTTCGCATGATTAGCTGATATGAAATTTTCCAGTAGAGTCTCCACCTTCTTCCACAGCAGGTCATCAGGCGGATACATCTGCGCCTGGAAGAGGAACACTGGCAGCACGTAACTATTGATGATGGTCACCCTCACCTCTGTCGTGAGATACTTTGATTGCCACCTGCTCAACACGCCCACCGCCCTGTCAAAAGCCTTTCCCCAAGTAGTTCCTGCACTCCCACCCAGGGTCACCCACACTCCAAGCAACCTTTCTGCCCGTCTTTGCCGACCCACTTGTACTCTAGCCCCGCCAGTGCCGGCTTGTTGATGTTCTTCCCCAGTGGCAGGATCGCGGACTTTGCGACGTTGACTTTCAGCCCCGACATCACTGCATACTCCCGCAACATTTTATGTGCCTCCTTTAATTGTTGCTCCCCGTTCAGCAACAAGGTGGTATCGTCCACATACCCCACGTATGTCACCCTCTCACATCCTTTTTCCCCGATGCCCAGCTTCCGCTCTTCTACCATCCTGTTCAGCGTCTCCACCGCACACAAGAAAAGGTAAGGTGTCAGAGGACACCCCTGCCTCACCCCTTTTCACATTTGGATCTGATCCCCCGTCCACCTGTTGATGCTGAGCCGTGTGTGGACGTCACTGTGGAGGGCCTCGATCCAGCATACGAAACGCGGTGGGAAGCCCATACATGTTATCGTCTTCATCATGCACCCCGCGTACAGAGTCGTACGCCTTCTTGAAATCGACCATCATAAGATACCAGTCCTTGTGCTTATGTTTTGCTGTATCGATCAGGCTCGCCATCATTGGCACCGCATCCGTGAGTCGCCTCCCAGTTAAGAATCCGTATTGCTCTCCTGAGATAACCTGGTGCAGAATCGCTTTCATTCTTGTCGCCACCACTTTTGTTAATATCTTGTAGATGCTTGTCAGCAACGTGATAGGCCTGTAGTTCTTGACGTCAGTCTTCGCTCCCTTATTGTACATTAGCACGGTGACATCCGGCAACTTGTCAGTAGCCACAAACTCTCTCACCATCCTCATCCCCTCAACACCTCCCAATGGCTGCGAAACAACTCCTTCGGCCCTCCCCGGAGATTTATCGTTCGCCAACTCTCTGATCGCCTTTTTAACCTCTTCCTCCTTCAAGTCTTTTGCTAAAACTTCTGCAGACGCCTCTTCCAGAACCGCCCTGGGCATCCACTGCAACTTGGCCTCTGCATCCGCCGACCCAGGGGTCTCATCGAAGGCCTCCTTGAAGTATCGTGTTGTCGTCTCCATGATAGCCCTCGCGTCCGTATAGCTGACACCATCCCGTACCAACTCTTTAATCCCCACTTTGGCCTTCCTGCTCTTGATAAGGGCTGACAGGAAGCCTGTCGGCGCCTCCCCACTTAGCTGCACTTTGAGCCCTGTTCTCACTTCTAGGAAGCTCCTCCGGCCATCCCAGTACCTATGCAGCAACGCCTGCCGACTCGCTAACAACGTCTGTAAGCTATCATCACCCATATTCACCATCACCTTCTGTTGCAACGACCCCACTTGTTCCTCCAGCGTTCTCCTAGTGTTTCTGGCCCTCTACTTCTCCTCCTTGTCAAATTTCCGCAGGCGAGTTGCCAGATTCCTTGACAGCCTGTCAAAGTTGCCGCTCCCACCATCTTCGTGGCGTTGCACCACCTCTGCAATTGCCGACGCCACCCCTGGTCGTCGCTTAGCCAGCCTCGCCGGGAACCTCCATATCCCCGGACTAGTCTCCTTCTGGCCTCTCCATACAAGCTTCATCCAGACCTCGAACTTATGGTCTGTAATTCCGTCGTGCAGCCATTAGTGAGACACCTTAGCCACCAGGTGCATCATTGCCTGCGACACAAGTATCCTGTCAATTATCGAGCTGACCTTCGCCGATCTACAGAAGAAAGTGAACTCCCTATCGTCCCGCCTCAGCTCCCGGAAGAAATCTTTGACCTGAAAGTCAGATAGGAACTGCTCCATCCTACTGTTATCCCCTGTCACCCCCTTGTCGGTTAGACTTGTCCAAGATAGGATCCTCCATCATATTTAAATCGCCTGCTACCACAAATTGCTCCCCTCTTGGCAGGCCAGCAACGAAATCCTTGAAGCCCAAACTAAGGAAACTACCCCGTGGTGCCGCCTACGAGGGAAAGTATGCCGCAAGTATCCTCATCTGCCAAGTCCCCCAACACAGGCGAGCGTGGAGTACTCTACCAGACGGGTGCCGCTGAACATCCTCTAGCTCCACCCCCTTTCGGAAGCAAAGGATAGCCACCACTCCTGCTCTGGTCGGGGCCGAAACTGCAACCGCTCTATGAGGCCGGAGTTCCGTCCAGAAATTGTGATCTGCTACTATGCGCGTGTCTACCAAAATTACCACGTCTGTTGTTGTCCTTATCCATCGCTTCAGTGTTTGATGCTTCCTCAAACTCCCCAAACAGTAGCGTTAGCCGTTTTGCGTTACTCATTGTAGAAATCAAGTGAAGCCCCCTGTCATCCACAGGGAATGTGTTACAGCACAACACGGTGATATTATACCGCCTGAGGTACATCATACAACCACGACGCCAACTCCTAATCATGACTCCTGCCTCTCTCTGCTCTGTGAGGTTGCGTGCTGCATCCCCCTCTTCCACAGGTGCTGCTTCCAGACTCACACACCAAACTCCTCCTTCGCCGCAACCAGATTGACACCTGCCTTGGAGCTGCGCGACGCAGAGCCAGACACCAAGCCATCGCTGTGCCGCTTGGGGACAACGTGCTCCGCTGCATGGGCAAAGGAAACACTGTTCGCTTTCTCGCAACTCTCCTGGACACAAATCCACTCCTCGCGGTTCCCCCCGGTTGAGACCAACACCACAGCTGGGTCCTTCAAAATTAGCCTGGTCAGGTCTGTGATCCTGACTGAGGCGGCTGCGCGGAGTCGGCACACCCACAACGTTCGCACTACACTACGTTGGAAACGGCAAGCGGAAATAAAATAGGTAAGCGAGAGCCATCCCCCACCCAATACCATTGATCCCATGGACCCGTCCCAGGGACCCGCTCCAGCACATAATCATCATGATACCTCGTCATGTGATACCCCGAACAGTAGACGCAGTTCAAGGAGGGATAGTGCACCAACAGGTGCTTATCGCGGTAGGTCGGGTCCTCGATCAGGTGATGCTAGCGGTACTTGTCACCATCATGCTACTTCACCAGGCCTTTAAACTTGTCTGTGTCCAACCCTGTGACAGGACTCACCACCCGATTAAAGCAGCAACCCTCCTTAAAAGCCGACCGTCCCCGCTTCTCCAGCTTCACCTTCACCAGCATGTCACACAGCATCTCCGGCGTGATCACCGCATCCACACCCTTAAACAGAACTTCGACCAGCAGCGGTTCCGCAGCACGCGCCTTCACGTAAGCTGGATCCACCGGGTGCTGCCAGTCCAAGTTAATACGCTTCCCGTCGATGCAGGTATGCACGATCCCGTGTTTCCACATGAAGTTGGTGTCACTAGCCCGCTCAAATGTGACCTGCAGCCTGCAGTACTGCTTCTTGTTCAGAAACGACGCCGTCAGCTCCTGAAATTTCGTTGTCGCCTGAATCTCCATGTTCAGGTCCTTCCTCCATATGTTGAACCGCGCGCCCAGCGTCGCATGCACGCGCGTCGCTTCCGACTTGAAGGCGATCAGGATCAGCAGGACGATGGCGAAACGAATCCTCTGCGCAGCCTCACTTTTCGCCTGCGCATCATACCGCTCCTCAGGGTCGTCACTGAGGTAACCGTCATTTTCCTCTTCGTCGTCATGCTTAGAAGACTTCTTAACCGTATCATCTTTCTCCTTCTGCAGAGTCTCGCTTGTCACTCCACTGGTTGTAGTGACCTTGTCAGCGCCTTTCGACTGCTGCGATTTGTCTCCGGCACCGGCAGCAACTAAGTCTCGAATCGCTTCCTTCACACCATGTGATGTCACAACTGGCTGAAGAGCATCATTGTCCGCCTCTGTGAACAGGTTAATAGTGCGCTTAACAGCCGTCGATGCTGAAGCGTCAGTAAGCACCGTCGTCTCCTTTGGCTTGTCCAGGGTAACACCAACAGACCCATCAGTGTTGCGGACCCCGCCATTCCTGGTAATCATCTTGGACATAGTGCAATGATGACACGGCAGAGTCTGGAAATCTCCTTGAGGTGAAAGCCACTGTCTGGGCACGGCATAAGCACCACCATGATTGTTTATATCCTTGGACTTGAAAACTCTTGAACACGATAACCTTGAATGTAGTTTACTGTCGTAATTCTGTAGAATATTGCTGACCATGAAGTTCAATAGTGAAATTTGTGTAAAGACCCTTATTGACGACTTAAGAAAGAGGTGTCACTCCTGGAGCTTGTCGCGCTAAACAGCCAAAGAGCTTGACGCGAGACCTTGGAGTTAGTAGCTGAATAGTAATCGAGACCCCTTGTCGCATAAGGCACAATGTTTGTCTGTTGGACACGGGAAGTGTACCTACAACTTCGTGGCGTTAAGGCGGTTCCGAAACTATTATCATTGTTACCAACTGACATGTGGTCTTCACAAACGAGCCTCTTAAAGCCATCACGCGGAATCCATGGCGGACCTTTCATTGTCCTGAATGCCGTGCTGCTCATTTGGGCATCTGGGTAACTGGGTAACTGGGTTTGGAACTGGCCAAGTTTCGTTAATACAGCCCCCCCTCCCCCCCCCCGGTTGTCGGAAGGCAGGATGTTTGGTTTCCGTTCCTGTGTCATATTAGGACGTGTCTCAAATGCGCGGGTCCACGTGGGTCCGACGCGGATCTGGCGGACTAGTTTCAGAACCATTGCGTGAACCAGCAACAGACTGGACCGAGATTAACCCTGGCAAAACTTTCAAATGGCACCACCACATTGGTGCCATTGAAGTGGTCGCCAGACCAGCCCGCGCCCGGTCCGCAACTGTAGCAGCTCACACATTTGTCTGCGAATATTCTCACCACTCGTGATTGTTGCTCCTGATGGGATGGGGAGTTTTCACCGGGAAAAAAAAAAGACGTAACTCGATTTCAGCACGTCTGATTTTTGTCGTTGTTGATTTTTGTTCGCAAATATTGTAGAGTCTGTGGCTCGACGTACCATGCAGACCAGCTCGTGTCTCGTCCACGGCTGATCCGCGAAGCAGGTCCGTCGGACCAGAATTACGGACCAGGCATGCATTCTTTTGGAGCGGACTAGGTCGGGGCGGACCAGTCACATGAGAGGGTGTCTCACGTGACTGGTCCGCTCCGACCCAGTCCGTTGCATGCCTGGTCCGAAGTCTGGTCCGACGGACCCATTTGGTAGACCAGCCGTGGACCAGAAGCGGACTGGTCTGCTAGATAAGTTGCTACAGTATTTTGCAAATCTAAACAGAGACGACAAAGAGCATTCTTGCTGAAGTTGAGTTACCCTTTTTTATGTGCCCGTTAGAAGCTTTCCAGAAAATATTGCGCGAATTTAACGAGTGATTTGAGAGTTAGCAAAATAGATTTTACAAAATTACTGTTTACCGACCAGAGGCGGACTGGTCTGCCGACCATTTCGAAGGCGTCGTTTTAGTGCCATTCGAACGCTATAACGGGAAATCAAACCCAAATTCTAGTCCATTCCACCGCTGGTTCAGGCGCTGGTTCCCGAGCTGGTCCGTCGTGTCCGCGTCGGACCCACGTGGATCCGCGCGTTTGAGACACGTCCTGAGACACCTTCTTAATTAGGGCTTCAGTTGAGGCTCGGTGCTAGAATAGAAGCATTTCACTTGGCAAGAAGCGCGAGGCTCAAGCACAACAAGATGCTGATGCTGTTGGCCCATAAGTTGCTACCACTGAAGGTGCTGCATCGTCTGCGCGTGGTTTGGGAGCATCCTTTCGATCAGTCAGGCTGAATGAAGCCTATCTGCTATTTCTACTCCCACCAGCACAACCATGACTGAAATGAACTTTTATCTTGAACAAAATGGCCCCGGTAGAAAGCGGAATGTGCATCTATGTCGTATAATTACTATTGGAGAATCGAGTTTCTGACGCCCCAGCCCTTTGCAAACAAGCAACAGCAAGGGGGAATGTCGGCGATGGATCGAAGGCTTCGCGAAAGAATCAGAAAGTTTCCCACCCAATCAGAATTCAGCCGAAGTCTCGATACAGTTCGGAGTTGCTTTCAAGGAGAAGCGTCAGCAATTTCTATAGGTTTCTACAAAACAGAATCAGCTAAACAGAGAATTCCAAAGATTTCTTATTCATGCACCTCATGTGGCTCTCAAAGTCACTCAAGGTCCATACAGCTGAATTGAGCCCAAGTTCCCAAGGAAGTTGCCTTGTCTAGCAGCCTAGTTTGAGCAATCAATCTACGCTCCAGCGTAGATCTCAGCCTCACAACTGGAGCTGAGAACAGAAGACGAGTGGGTAGACCGCCAAGAAACAGAGCCGGAGCCAAGGTTGAAGGTGTAACCCTGTGACGACCGCTGCGTAGCCAGGTTGTCAACCCAAGAGGCGTCTGAGTGTCCAGTGAGGACAACTCGACCCCGTCCTCCAAGCACGAGCCCCATGCCTGATGTACTGCACAAGTAGCGCAGCACCCTCTTAGCAGCCTCCCAGTGCTCTCGCCGGTGTCTCCCAGGCGCAACGTAGCAAGCCAGGATGCTAAGAGGGTACGCAAGGTTAGGTCGAGTGCAGGTCATCAGATACATGAGGCAGCCCACAAGCTCTGGATACGGGCCACTCGGCTCTACGGACTCGTCCAAAGGTGGAGCTGAGAGCGAGTGACCGTGCAACGGAGTGGACTGTGGTGAGGAGAACTGGAAGCCGAAGCGCTGAAGGACCTGTTGCACCATGTGTGACTAAGTCAGGGTGATGGTGCGGCGTGCTCTGTCCCGGGTGATCTGCAAGCCAAGGTAGCTGCGCAGCTCACCCAGGTCTGTGCACGTGTGTCTCTTCTGCAGCTCTGACTTCACAACGCCGAGTGCCTCAGTGTCAGCAGTGGCAAAGACCAAGTCGTTGACGTACACGAGGATGTAGAACGGCGGCAGCGAAGTGTCGGTGCGAAGAAACAACGACGGGTCAGCTGTCGAAGGAGCGAACCCAAGAGCCGCAAGTGTCGTCCTCAGTGTGTCGTGCCACTCACGAGGTGCCTGGCGGAGACCGTAGACTGGCCGCTGGAGGCTCCACCGGGTATCAGGAGGGAACGACCCTGTAAAGCCATGTGGGCGGCGCAGCCAGATCTCCTCGTGCAGGTTGCCCTGCAAGAACGCTGTGCTGAAGTCAAGAGAGTGAAGCTCGTAGTCACGCTGAGCGGCAACGTGCAGCAGCACCCGAAGAGTGGTCATCTTTGGGGTAGGGGAGAAGGTCTGGAAGAAGTCAACTCCCTGTCACTGACTGAAGCCTCGTGCAACGTAACGCGCCTTGAAGACAGGCGGAGAACCCGGCGGCCGCTTCACCCTGAAAATCCACATGCCATCGACTATGTTCGCCCCAGGAGGGGGAACCTCGTTGACGTAGGTGCCTGTGGACTTTCAGGATGCCATCTCTGCGTCCATGGCTGTATGCCACTGAGAGGAGTAGGGACCCGAGATCGCCTCTGCGTAAGAGCGCGGGGTCGGGATGTCTAGTGCATCCGGGTCTCCCTCAGGCGCAAGCAGCCAGGCCACGAGATGAGGTACAGCAGCCGCAAGACACTCAAGGTCCTCCTGTCTGTCCTCAAGGACGTCCGTGCCAAGAGCACACTCACCCCCGACGGACGGAGGACAGACAGACTCAAACTCCGCAATAAGACTGGCGGCGTAGTCTAGACGACACGCAGCAGCAAAGTCCACAAGCTCAGCAACTAAGGCAGACGCAGCAGCAGACTTAAACGACGGGTCAGTGACAACAGTAGTCAGGAGACGGGTGACAGTAGGGCTGGCAGCACGAACACGGTCAGACTCAGGGTCCGGAACGTCAGGAAGAGAGGACGTAGGAGGTGATGGCAGAGGGACGCGCTGAGTAACAGAGGAAGGACGAAGTGCCATAGTGTGAGTACCAGGCACAGGAGGAGGACGCGGACGCGGGACACAACGAGCACGGCGAACAGGGGAGGCAAGACGAGACGCAGGCTCACGACGCTCTGTAAGGGAGACCGGCTGCTCAGTGTAACGAGACGGGGCAGGCAGCGGTGAGTCCGGAGGAAGGGCAGTGGACGAAGGAAGACTAAGAACCTGACGGAGAACCGAGTCGGTTGGTAGCTCGGACAGCTGCGGCGGCGGCAACAAAAACGGTCGCACAGGGCCTCCAGCTCCAGCGCCTCCAGCTCCAGCACCTCCAGCTCCAGCACCTCCAGCTCCAGCGCCTCCAGCTCTAGTGCCTCCAGCTCCAGTGCCTCCAGCTTCAGCGCCTCCAGTTACAGCGTCTCCACCTCTAGCTCCTACAGCTCCAGAGTCTGCAGCTCCAGAACCTCCAGCTCCAGGGCCTCTAGTGCCAGTGCCTCCAACTCCAGCGCCTCCAGCTTTAGCGCCTCCAACTACTGCGCCTCCAGCTCCAGAGCCTGCAGCTCCAGAGCCTGCGCCAGCTCCAGCGCCTCCAGCTCCAGCGCCTCCAGCACCAGCGCCTCCAGCTTTAGCGGCTCCAGCTCCAGGGCCTCCAACGACAGTGTCTCCAGCTCCAGCGCCTCCGGCTCTAGGACCTCCAGCTCCAGCGCCTCCAGCTCCAGCGTCTCCAGCTCCAGTGCCTCCAACTCTAGCTTCTACAGCTCCAGCGCCTGCAGCGCCAATGCCTCCAGCTCCAGCAGCGCGACTCCGAAGGCGGGTGCGCCGAGCAAACCACTCGCGCAGCTGCTGCGGTGAGAGAGGCTCCACAGTGCCGCCAGCACCAGTACCTCCAGGGCTAGCAACGCCAGTACCTCCAGCGCCTCCAGCTCCAGGGCCTCCAGCTCTAGCACCTCCCGCAGTAGTGTCTCCAGTACCAGCAGCGCGACTCCGAAGGCGGGTGCGCCGAGCAAACCACTCGCGCAGCTGCTGTGGCGAGAGAGGCTCTCGCTGGCTAGACCGCTGCGGCGAGGCACCCGGAGAACGACCAGCAGACGCAGCACCCCCAGGCTCAGCACCTCCAGGCTCTGAACCCCCAGGCTCAGCACCCCCCGGCTCCG